TTCTGCCTTGGAGAGAGCCAGAGGCCTAGAGGTTGCTTTGTTCAGCAAGTAATGAGGAAACCAAAGTAAAAATCAACGTACTTTGATGCTTGGTATATAGACATACTCCATGGACTCTGTGGGGTGATAACATATACAATGTACTCAAAGATTTTTATTATAATTTTTTGTCTTTATTGATTTTAGAGAGAGGAGAGAGAGATAGAAACACTGATGAGAGAGAACATCGACTGGCTGCCTCCTGCATGCCCCCCACTGGGGATCGGGCCCACAACCTGGGCACGTGCCCTGACTGGGAATTGAACCAGCGACCGCTCAGTGCATGGGCCGATGCTCAACCTCTGAGCTACACCGGCCGGGCTACTCAAAGATTTTTAAATTTTATTTTGTATCACCTAGTCCCAAATTGTGCCTAGAGAAGGACTTGGTCATTATTAATTGGATGGACGGATGCGTTTTGAAGAGCCCCAAAGAATTGTGGTATGGAGATATTAGACTTGAACCCATTAGCTCCCGAAGACATTCACACTCAAGTTACATTCAATTCTTTAATTCTTTTTAAAATTTTTATTTATTTTAGCAGATTTATGGAGGTATAATTTACCTATCATGACATTTACACATTTAAGTGCTCTATCATTGACGTTGCATTTATTCTTTAAAAAAGTTTTTTTTTCTTTATTGATTTTAGAGAGAGAAGAAGGGAGAGGGAGAGAGAGAGAAAAAAACATCGATGAGAGAGAACATTGATTGGCTGCCTCCTGCATGCTCCCTACTGGGGATCGGGCCCACAACCTGGGCATATGCCCTGACCAGGAATCGAACCAGCGACCTTTTGGTGCCTGGGTCGACGCTCAGCCACTGAGCCACACCAGCCGGGCTGCATTTATTCTTGACCCAACTTTTGTTATAATGAAAGGAAGAGTGCTTCTATGATGGAATCTGTAGGAGAACCCAAGGAGGTTAAAGGTTATCATCAAAACTTTACCTCCCCTGGGGTCCCAGAGACCAGTACTTTTTGCAAATTCACTTGGTCTCTGAATCCCCTGGGCTATTATTTTTTCCTCTTGGAAGGCTGGGCTGCTGGCAGGAGAGCTCCCCCTACTGTCAGGTTGTGGGATGAAGGAATGGCCCTGCACCTACACATACACTGGAGAATTTTTATTTGAACAGCCCCGTGGATCTTGATCATGAGTGTGTTTACGGTGCAGACTCCTGGGGTCCACCTCCACAATGCCCAGGTCGGGAGGACTCGAGTGGGCCCGAGAAACTGCATTGTAAAGAAGGGCCCACAGACGACCCGGATGTAGACAATCCCAGAGACTGTCCTGAGAGATTCTGGATGAACTTACAGCAACATCAGAACGTTTCTGGGTTGGAAATGTTGGCTTCATCGGTCTAAGCAGTTCTAGTTGTATTTGTGTAACATGGCCCGTCTATGCATCCATTGGAAGGCGTGCACACACACACACACATACACACAGATACACAGGCGCACACACAGATACACAGGCACACACACACACACACAGAGATATACACACACACACTCTTTATTTTTGACCAAAAGAAAAGGCAAGCTAATATAAAGAAGTAAGGAAAAGTGATTTAGAAGTTAAATACATAGAACTTTCTTGAAAAAATAAATTTTTACTACAATGCCGTATCTTGTTTAAATAGATATATTTAAATAAGATATGGATAGATATCTATCTCCACTCTTGAAAATGTGAGCTGATTCTAGGTCCCTGGTGGGAAATGAACAGACTGGGGAACTGAAGCCCCGGCTAAAACCCAGAAACATTCCCGATGACTAATGGCCTCTGGCCACCTTAGTTGAGGCGGGACTTCCTGTTGACGGGAATAATTAGCTTTGGAAATAAAAGTTGAAACAGAAACCGAGGACACTAGCCGATGAGCCTGCTTTGCATATTTATACATTCTGCCAGGTCCTTGCATTACGATTTCTGCTCAGGAATAAATTTGCCTTTATTGTTTCCCTGGCCTCCCCCAAACTCACACGGCTCCTGCCCATGAAGATATGAGAAAAAACCAGCGGATCTGTTACTGAAGCCGGAAGAAATATCTCGCTTCCAGTGACCTTCCTAGATAATGAGCAGATAGGATTTTCTAATATAAAGGGGATCAATCAAAGGACCTTTCAGGGAGCCGGGGCAATAACACTGGAGTCCAAGACCATCAATTCCGAAAGCAAAGGGCAGAGGACCCTTCTCTATGAGACGAAGTCAAGATGGGAGACATTCGCCCCCCAAGGGGGTGGGGTTAAATAGACCCCCCCCCCTTCCACCTTTCCCTGAGTCCAGAACTTATCTGGGATGAAGTCACGCCTTCCCGGGATGTTCCACCAGCTGTGATTTTCTGATGATGGAGCGAAGACGTGGTTTTGAGAGATGGACTGTGGGTTGTCTTCAGATCACTGTGACGCTGTGAGTCATCACTGGACTCGGGTCCTCGGTGTCATTTCAGAGTCCCCGCTGGCCTGCAGAGCACCTCTGTTCTGTCCCCATCGGTGTCTGCAGACGTCGCTCCACAGTGGCCGGTGGTGCTGGGAACAGGCTACACCTGGGGCCGCCTGGTGTCGAAGGCCAGGAACACTATGGCTGCAGACATGTTCCTGGGGCACCTCAGCGCCACACCTGTCGCGGCCCACTTGATCCATTTGTCAGTTACGTGGCATCATACTCTACTGAGGAGAACCACGATGGGAACTATGATTAACTCAGGAAATGGTGTCCGGGTCTCTTACAAATAATCATAGAATTTTGATAAGTGCTGTTTACTGAGATCTGTGTGTCAGGCATTGTACCCTATCTTTCTAAATATCCCAGGCCTTGAAGAAGCGTGTTATTAGACCTCCTTTACTGATGGGGGTGTAGAGTCTCTAAGTGTCAGTCAGTGACCTGCTCTGGGCCCCATGTGTGGAAACTATTAAGTGAGGCTTATTTTACTTAGGGCTCTCTGACCCATAGTTTATTCTTATTTTTTTCTTTTTTGTATGCTCACCCGAGGATATTTTTACATTTATCTTCAGATAGAGCAAGAGGGAGAGAGGGAGGAAGAGAGAGAGAGCAACATTGATGTGAGAGAGACACATCCATTGGTTGCCTCCCGCATGACTCTAACTGGGGCCAGGGACGAACCGCAACCGAGGTACATGCCCCTGACTGGAATCGAACCCATGACTCTTTGGTCCTTGGGCCAACGCTCTAACCACTGAGCAAAACCAGCCAGGGCCATAGTTCTTTCTTTTAACCATACATCTGTGCCCTGGTCTGCAGAGGGGCTGTGGACAATTGGAACCTACCCTTATAGGAAGCTCAGTGTTTTCCTGACCCTGCGTGGGAACCAGTCATCGGGACTAAAGCCTTAGTCCAGGTGAGATGGCCCAGAGAGCTTAGTATTTTAAAATCCTAACTCACGCCTGTTAGATTTTAGAAATCACGCTGGAATCCCCCACCCTCCCCACTTAACCTGCGGGTAACCTGAGCCATAGAGATGACCAGCGCCGTCACTCGGGTCTGTCGTCTTGCTAAGCCTGCTCCTTGAATCGGTAGCTACTCATCATTCACACGAGGCAGTTAAGTCGTCGCGTAAGACCTGGAGAAGCCCAGGCTCCTGGTGTCACCTTGCCAGGAGTCAGCGGTAGATTTGGGACCGGAGCCCAGGGTCCATGCTCGGCACCGGAGCGCACCTCGCTGCTTCCTCCCGAGGCTCTGGTGCTTCTCGAGGGAGGGGCTGCGGTTCTTCGATGCTGTGCCAGCATGAGGGTAGCACCGTGACCAATGTCCCTGCCAGGGAGGAATATGGTTCCTCCTCTCCTCAGTTCTTCATCCCAGGGAAGGCCTCCCCTCTGCCTCTTCTCTCTCTTCCCTAACGTTTTATCGCTATGCTCTGGACAGAGAGTTTTCTAACACGCCTCTGCATCCGCCCCCACTCAAAAGATGAAGTTCGATCCTTGCCCTTCCGAACCACCTCACGCAGGACCCTGGGGATACGGTCCTCCCCTCTTCTGTAACCTCGCGTGTATGGAAATGGTTTTATTTTCCCGGACAGGCCATCACTTCTCTGGTCTCTGAGCCTCTGAGCGTGCAGCGGCCGCTCCCTACGCCTTCTTTGTAAGTCTGGCTAAGCCCTACTCGCTCTTGGATCTCAGGGATCTCACCCTCGGTCCCTCACTGTGTGCTCAGAACATACCTTGCTCACCCCTGTCCTGGCACGTATCACCTGCGCTGTAAATCCCTGAGTGTGCACAACAGTCTCCACCTGTGCACCATGAGCCCCGTGAGGTGGGACCATGCTCTCCGATTCTCCATGATGACCTCGCTGCTTTGCACCAGCCCCAACAGGAAGCAAGTACCAAAGAAATACTTGTAAAAGGAGGGAGTTCTTGGTCAGTGTTTTGTGAACACACCTTCCCGTTTCTTCAGGGCTCTGTAGACCAGCCACGGTGCCTAGGGCTGGAGACAAACAGGGAAACTCCCAGGAGGCTGTCCTCATGGAGCCTTGGTCTGCTGGCAGAAACATCACTGCACCACCACGTACACACACCCCGTAGAATCATACGTGCTGATACGTTCTGCATGAAAACTTTCCAAGAGACCTGTGTCCTGAGGACCTGAACCTTTTCAATCACAGATGGACATGGTTTGGCTGTCTTTTTAAAATAATATTTTTTCCTTATTGAATTTTAGAGAGGGGGAAGGGAGAGGGAGATAGAAACATCGATGAGAGAGAATATTGATCGGCCGCCTCCTGCATGCCCCCCACTGGGGATCGGGCCCACAACCTGGGCATGTGCCCTGACTGGGAATTGAACCGGTGACCTCTTGGTGCAGGGGTTGATGCTCAACCACTGAGCCACACCGGCCGGGCTTGTTTGGCTATCTTGAAGTAGATGAGGTCACATGAAAATTCAATAGTCAGTGTCTCAACAATTAAGTGGCATGTTCACAAGCCCATTGGACCTTGGACACGGATAGATGTAGCACCGCCCAGTGCCTCAGCTAGGGGGCGCACTTTCTCCTTCCTCTTCCACGGGGAGAGGCTCTCCTGGGGCTGCAATATCTTGCTTTCACTTTGGGACCCACAGCCACGCCAGAGGAATGCGGAAGCATTTTCCTACTTAAAACAGTGTTTATTCCATACTTTCTAAAAAGTATTTTAAAGAAAACAGTAATGCCATGGCCCCATTTTCTGGAGAGCTGCTGACAGCATCTGATAGATTAAAGTATTACATGCTCACAGTTAGCAAATGGAAATGGCAGATAAGAAAAGAAGTAGATACAATTATAAAATGTATAAAAATTACAAAATGCGTGGATGGTATAAAAGGAGGAACATCGTACTTCTGGCTGAAAGTAATAATATTCCTTGCAGAAAATTTTTCTAGTCCACTGTGTGTAATTATAATTCATACAACAAAAAATCATACCATACACATTATTTTGTATGGATGTTGTTATTGAACAATTTAACACGGTCGTCATTTCTCTATGTCGGCACACACAGACCAACCTTGTTCTTTTTATCAGCTGCGTAATATTCCATTCTGTGGCTAAAACATCATTCTTTTAGCCTCCCCTTTCTCCCCTCACCTATTCACCTTTGGATTATTTGGCAGTTGTGTTTGTTGTTTTCTCTTTTTAAAACAATGGTGGCAGGAATATTCATTAACATTTTTCTAATGGAAGCCCTGGCCAGGTAGTTCAGTTGGCTGAGCATTATCCCGATATGCCAAGGTTGAAGGTTTGATCCCTGGTCAGGGCACATACAGGAATCAACCAATGAATGCATAAATAAGTGGAATAACAAATCCACGTTTCTCTCTCTCTCTTTCCTTTCCTTAAGTCAGTAAATTGAAAAAAAAAAAATGTTTAAAATATATTCTTCTAGTGGAACTCCAAAATAAATATGATGCGGTGGGATTTGAGTGAAGGCTTATGAGAATTTTATATTTTGTAAGACTTTGTTAAATTATCTCCCACGTCACACTGATCTGTGGAGGAGTATATCCATTCCCGGCAGCCACCCCAGCAAGGTTGAATATTTGTTAATCTGATGGGTGAAACATTGTATCTCATGTTTTATTTAAATATCATTCTATTGTTGCCCATCCTGTTTTGTTTATTGGTATGCATATATTTGGGGATGCTGCCTTAGAATCAGCTGGGCACAATAGCTTTTTTAAGCAAATCATAATACAGACCGGATTGCACTGTCAATGAAAACACCTTTTCAAATCATAAGTCCTGGAAGTTTAGAATCATTCGTTCGACATTAAAAGACGGATACCCTATTTACAAAACACCCTCACGTATTTATCTAAGTTGTTCTGTAATGATCCTTTGTAGGCAGCACTTTATTACTCCGGTTCAATTTGGGGTATGTATGGAATAAATTAACTTTCACCTTACGCTGTCCTGTGTATCCCAGTCGTGTCCCAGTAGCCCCCCTCGGTGAGGAGTTAATGTACCCTAGGCAGACGTTCTGGGAGCTCTGGTGATCTGCGTGCACAGTGTGGCCGGGATGAGGGGCACAAGGCGAAACGGAGCCTTCAGACTGCATAGCGGTTGCTCCCTGAGCTCGGAACTCTGCCCCCACTACCTTATCTGTTCCAGTTTTCCTGCCTCTCCGTCTTCTCCGTCTCCTTGGAACTGATGTTTGTAGCCTGTGGGTTTGTGGTGTGCTGGGTGCTGATACAAAACAGATCTGTTTCTGAAATCTGTCTTCGTCCATCCAGGTGCTTAGAGCACGGCCGTTCATCTTTTATGTGGTGTGAGAGGGATTTCCCAGCACCTCCCCAGGTAATGAGTTTGATTCAAATGATGTGGTGACAGGGGAGGGAGGGGGTCATTCATTTCCTTGTCACCACTTTGCAGTGTCCCACGCTCTCGGAACCCGCCCAGGCCTCCTCCCAGGGAGCAGAGACCAGGCCGACAGGCTCAAATGCCCCCTTTACTGTTATGTATATTTTTCAAGACTGACATGAAGGGGGACATCTTTACCCCACCTTCCAAGGAACAGATATACTGGCAACTGCATTTGGGGAGAAAGGAAACAGATTAAACCACCACGTCTGTGGCCCGACTTTTTTTGTGTCTTGTGAGGAGTGGTGATATTTTGCTTCTGTTTTCAGCGAGCGCGTTTTCTGGACCCAACATATGATTAGATAAGGGCCAGCAAATTGGCAAAGTTAATGGACCGGAATATTGCAACATTGATATACAAAACTTTGTAATACTCTGTAAAATCCCCTAAGCACAGGATAACTATGTAACATTTTTTCTCCCTCCTTTCCCCTCCCCCTTTCCTGTGATCTTTCCAAAACCAAACCGCTGTGTATGAGAGACTATTATATCTGCCACCCCCACCCCCAGCAGGTCCTTCAGATTAACACATCGCTCATGAGCTTCTTTGCCCTTTTACAGGAATCTGTTAAGAGCAGAGACTAAATGCATTTAGAGAATGTGTCTCTATGTTATATAGACAATATATTATTGTATCATATGGCCGCGGCGTGGCCCTCGGTAGCCCCAGAACAGGAATCTTCCTACTCCATCTCCCTCCTAGCTATGCTTGCCAAGGACTCTGGCAATGATGAGGCACCAGATAAATGTCTAGGTCACCTCCAAGGAGTTGCATTGGCCACTAACTTGCTAGGGACACAGAAGAGGAATCGGATGCAGACAGCCAGGCTGTCTGTCTCCTTGTAGATTCTGTCCAGTGAGCCTGTGCTAAACAGAGGGGGAGGCACCGCTCTGTTCCTCCAAGAACACTTGTTCCTGTTACACTGAGTGTCCAGGATGCTGAGTGTCCAGCACAGGCAGACCCTATATTCTGGTGTCTGACCAGGGGATGCGCCTGCTCTCCCTCCAGGCTTGCTAAGCATCAGGCTCGTAGTCAAGTCTGGTTGAGAATCTCGCTCATCACACATGCTATGCAACGGCCGCTCACCTCCACCAGGGAACCCTAACTCGGGCAAACGACATTCCCGGCTTAGTGTCAGCGATGTGGCCCCGTCCATCACGCTGAATGACAGTGATGTGCTCCGATGCTGTTAGCTTCGTCGTGGGTGAGCTCTAAATGTCAGCCTTCATATTTGCACAGACGGAAACATTGTTATTTTAGAAATGAAACCCTCAGCTTGAAGGAAAGATTGATCTTTAAGAGGGATTTGTGCCGCCCGGCTGGTGTGGCTCAGTGGCCACGCACCAAAGGGCCGCCGGTTCGATTCCCGCTCAGGGCACATGCCCAGGTTGTGGGCCCGATCCCCAGTGGGAGGCATGCAGGAGGCAGCCAATCGATGTTCTCTCTCATCGATGTTTCTCTCTCTCTCTCTTTCCCTCTCCCTACCTCTCTCTCTAAACACCAATCAATAAAAATAAATAAATACATACAAGGGATTGTGCTCACTCCGAGTCTGAGAAGCACGGCCTGAATTCGCGTTGACATCCGTTTTGTCACCCGTGGTGTCTTGCTCGCCCAACTAGACTACGCGGTCCTTGGAGGCAGATCCCAGCCTCCTGTGGCTTTGGCGTCCAGTGCACAGAGGTACTGAGGGCTGCTCCCTGCTGCTGACTGGCTAACGCTGCTGGGTCCGGGGTGTGCTGAGTCCAGGGGTGAGGTAGTGTGCCCTTGCAGGGGGTTGTTGGCAGGAAGAGGGCACACATTTGGACTCTCCTGTGCGTCCTCTCGGGTCCAAAGGACTCCTGACCGCATGGGCCCTTGGCTGGCTTTCCTGCAGGGCTGGGACGTGACCCCCTCCCAACGGGACAGGCCAGGGTTCTGGATCACAGAGGCAGCACCCAGGCCCCTCCACTCTGGTGTTCCATTGCGACTGTCATTTTCTAGCTGCTGGGAGCACCAATACCTCTGCGGAAAGCGCTTTCTTTGCCCCCGTCCTCCTGTCCCTTTCTGGTCCCCGTCCAGCGGTGCTGACCTTTTAGCTCCCATGTCTTGCCACGCTGGAGAGAAGACAGCTGTCCTCCCCCGTACCTGTGGCTGCGGCTGGGCCCATTGCTCTCTGCTCCTCTTCCAGACTTTTCCCCGTAGCACATTGGGAGCCTCGCGAGCCAAAGAGAACCAGGGATGGTGAGACACGACGTCTGAGACCGATCAGAAACCTCTCCTTGGACGACGGCGACATGGGAAATGACATCATCCGTGTATTGGTCAGACGCAGGAAACATGATGTATTGGACTTGTATGCCGGCGTCTGCTCTGTGGAGCAGACAGAAGTGGAAAAGGAAGGGCGGGAGGAAGATCAAAGGAGGTAAATACAAGTGGAGATGGATGACTGAAGGCTTCTGGCCACCTCGCTAGGAAAGAGAGAAGAGGCCCGTCCATCCTGTCCCCGCTCAGAATTACGATAAAACACTCCGTGCACTGGCGAAGGAACGTGCAGAAAATTCGATCCTGTGTTTCATTCCAAGCCTGGATTATCATGAAAACTGAGGAGCAGAGAAACTAGTAGCACTGAAAGGCCACGAGAGAGCGAGCCTCTTCTTTTGGGGTGTCAAGTGAGCAGAAATACACCAACATGGCACAGAAAAGGTCATAGTCCCAGAACAAATCTTGTGGCCTGTCTTCTCCAAGGAGCAATGGGCACCAGTACCATTTCTTAAAGACCGTCTATGGTTTTCAGAGCTCAAACCCTTTGTTTTATTTTTTTTTTTCCATTCACTATATTTATTTTTTTTTTTATTAATTTTTGTTACAGATGTTTCTCCTTTTTCCCCCACTGATTCCCCCCTCCCCCTCCCTCCCTGCCCTGTCCCCAGCTTTGTTGTCCATGTCCACTGTTCATGCACACATGCATATAAGTTCTGTGGTTTATCTCTCCCCCACCACGCCCTCTCCTGGGGATTGTCAGTCTGTACCCCACTTCCACGTCTCTGGGACTACCCCATTCCTCAGACCGTTATGTTCATTATATTCCACAAATAAGTGAGATCATATGATGCTTGTCTTTCTCTGTTTGGCTTGTTTCACTTAG